ACCCATATCCATCACCTGAACCCATACCAAGACCTGTACCCATATCCAAAGCCTGTACCTGTAATCACACCTTGAACCCATATCCAACACCTGAACCCATACTAAGACCTGTACCCATATCCATCACCTGAACCCATATCCAGTGCCTGTACCCATAACCACAACCTGTACCCATTCCCAAATCCTGAACCCATACCAAGACCTGTACCCATATCCAATACCTGTACCCATATCCAGTATCTGTACCCATAAACACAACCTGTACCCATTCCCAAATCCTGAAACCATATCCATCACCTGAACCCATACCAAGACCTGTACCCGTATCCAAAGCCTGTACCTGTAACCACACCCTGAACCCATATCCAACACCTGAATCCATACCAAGACCTGTACCCATATCCAATACCTGTACCCATATCCAGTAGCTGTACCCATAACCACAATCTGTACCCATTCCCAAATCCTGAACCCATATCCAACTCCTGAACCCATACCAAGACCTGTACCCATATCCAAACCTGTACCTGTAACCACACCCTGAACCCTTATCCAATACCTGAACCCATACCAAGACCTTTACACATATCCAATACCTGTACCTATGCCCAGCCCCTGTATTTATAACCACAACTTGTACCAATATCCAATATACAAATACATACCAAGAATTGTACCCTTATCCAACACCTGACCCACACCCAACATCTGAACCCTTAACCCATAACTGTACCCACACCAGGACCTGTACCCATGCATCATACATTTACCCATACCCAACACCTGTACCCACACCATCTCCTTTATCCCTATCTCACACCTGTACCCATATCCAACCCCTGTTCTTGTATCACGACCTGTACCCATACCATACTCCTGTAACCATACCCAACACCTGTACCCATATCCAATACCTGTACCTATACCCAGCTCCTGTACCCAAAATACAAACTGTACCTATTCCCAAAACCTGAACCTATACACAACACCTCAACTTGTTCCCAACACCTGAACCCACTCCCAACCCATAACCCATACCTGTAGCCATTTACAACCTTTCCCTGTACCATGACCTGAACCCATACCAAACTCCTGTAACCATACCCAGCACCTGTACCCATATAAAATACATGTACCCATATCCAGCTCCTATATTCATAACTACAACCTGTACCCATTCTCAAAACCTGAACCCATATCCAACTCCTGAAACCATACCAAGACCTGTACTCACATCCTATACCTGTTACCCATTTCCAGTGCCTGTACCCATAACCACAAGCTGTACCCATATCCAGCACCTTTACCCATATCAGGACCTCTACTCATACCCCATGCCTGTACCCATACCCAACACCTGAATGCATACCAAGCATATTTACCTACACCTAACTCCTGTACCTATATTCAATTCCTGTCCATGTACCATGACCTGTACCCATACCAAATTCCTGTACCCATACCCATCACCTTTACCCATATCCAATACTTGTACCCATGCCCAGTGCCTGTACCCATAACCACAACCTAAACATATATCCAACACCTGAACACATATGAAAACCTGTACCAATATCACAGTGGCTTCTGCCCCAGTGTCTACCAGACCCTTGGTGGGTCTGTTATCCAGGTAGAATACCATCATGGGAGAGTGGGGAAATATTGGAAGGGTCCAGAACAGTCTGAGTTTGGAGGGACCCCCTCTTACTTGCTGGGCTGAAGGATGCCCCTCCTCAAGTTTAAAGGAACTTGTGAGGAGCCCCTGCAATCACATGCCCAGTGAAAGCCTTTTTGGCGTTTGGGTCATTTAGTTTTGGGCCTAGCTTAGGGACAGTCTCTACGAAGGTGACCTGACTGACCACAGCCCCAGAAAGAATGGCCAGGTGAGTGGGAAGAGGACTTCCCAAGGTCATTATCTTTGGAAGCTAATACTGCATCGAGGGAGGCTGTAAGGGCAGCTATGGGTCCTGCCTGGGGGTCTAGATTGTGTGTAGCAATCACCCATTTATGGGTGTCCTCATTATGTACTACTGCAGTTGCATTGTGGGTAGGGGCATTAAGCCCTTCCCATGTTAATTGCTTGATGATCATCTCCCTGGTTGGGCCAGGATCGACCCATGTCTCCACTGCCTCGTACTTGGGCTAAGAAGTCAGTAATCATCTTCCCTGGCTGCTGTATCAGATTACAAAAGTAAGCAGTTGGGTCCCGAGGAGTGCAGGACTTCAAGGCTTTAAATGCAAGGTCAGAGACTTGCTGAAAATAGGCATGCAGGCCAATTTGGGCTTGGGTCATGGGGCTAACATATTGGCCCCTGCCAGTCAGCATGTCTAGGGATATAGCAATATTATATTGAATATTTAGGAATGCCTGTGTTTCAGCTTCTTCTTCATAAGCAGCATGCCAATTAAAAACAGCGGGATCCAATATAGCTTTATTAAATGTGACCAATCATAATAGGTTTGTAAATGCATTGTCCATTGTGGTAGCACCTGTTCAAAATATGGCGAGTCAGGACCTGATTCATCAGCAGCTTTACGAATCAAAGACAGAACCGTAAGAGGGGTGGGCACCCAGGGCTGGGTGGCAGCATTGGGTCCTACATTAACTGGAAGGGCACAAGGATTAGTAGAGTGGTACTCATTGTTGGAGCTTGCATAGGGGCTCAGGTACCGGGGTGGGGCAGGCCTTAGTTACTGAGCTTGGTTTTGCCTTAAGGGAATCACAGTGATGCTCTTCAGGGCATGAGGATGAAGGCAGGTCTGTCCAAGGATAGAGACTTTCCTCTGGGAGGTGAGGCAGGAGGGGATTGTTTAGGAGGTTTCTTTAGTGGGTCAGTCTCATCCTCTGAATCTGGCTCTACATATGGAGGTGGGAAGTCAAGCGAGAGGGTATCCATCTTGTGTGTTTTACAGTAGTCATTAAAAGCTTTAAGAACACCATCCATGGTACCTTCTTTTATACAAGCTATAATACCTAATAAAATAGGAATAAATGATGCATGTGGAGATTTACCTTCCTGAACTTCTCTTTTTCTGGCTAGGAATAAAACACACATTCAAAAGGGCTGAGGCCCAGATATTATCAGGAGATATCCAGGGTGCTATGGCAGAGGCTTCAGCCCAAAAGCTAGCCAGGTTTGCAGGCTTAATGTGAATATCCCTGGTCTGTAAGAGAGCTTTAAGTGCTAATATCTGAAGTTCTTTAGCGGTAGCAGGGAAATTACCCATTGTTAGTTAAAGCAAGGGTAAAAAAAGTACTCTCCTGGAAGTCCTTGAGACAGCTGTCAGCAGGAGGTAAAAGCTGCAACCCCCTCCTGGTCAGAGCGGCAGCCTCTACATGGGGCTGGGTGCTTCTGAAGCACAGACTGGAAAGGCTGCAGAAGCTTGGGGCGGAAAAGTCCCTTAGAGATTGCAGCTGCAGCCACCGCAGCCTGATGCTTGGAGACCGGGCGGGAGGGATCCGCCTTCTCTCCCGCCTGTAGACCGGGTGGGCACAAGAGAGTGCTCCTATTTTAGGAGGACGAGCTGTCTCTCTGCCCCTGCAACCGCGCCGGGAGTGGGGAAGAAAGCCCTTGGGGTTCAGGCAGACATGCCCTCTCCATAGCAGGAGGGAAACAGCTCACGGGTTATCTGGGGGGGACGGGGGACGGGGGTGGGAATAGGGGAGAAAGCGCAGGGTAGCCTATGTTTGGTTCGGCCTTAGAGGAGGACTTATCTCAAAATGGGTGGGGGCAGGACAGTGCCCATGAGCCGCTGCCTGATGGGTGAGCCTCGGATCGTGGCTCTGGCTCCCTGATGAAGGCGGCTGCAGCTCCCTGTTGTTCCGGGCACTGCAACGCCACTGTGCAAATACCCAGACAGCTGCTGCAGCTCCCGACGGTAGCTACGCTGGGCTGCACCACGAGGCTTGCAGCCGCTGTGGCTCTCAATGGCTCTGGTGCGCTTGGGCGCAGGGCGTGCATGGGTGCAGGGCGTGCATGGGCAGGCAGGTCATGGGGGAATGCGCGCATAGCTGGAAGCCACTTTGGATTCCCATGACTTGGGCGCACGAGAGGCAGCCGCGCGGTGGCTTTGCCAGTTGCCACCGGCCGCGCAGGGGCAAACTGCCAAGGGTGGGCCAGGCAACCGTGCCAGGTTGAGCAACCACGCGAGGGCCGAGCAGCTGTGCGCCTGGCAGCCACTGCGGCTCCCACTCCCCGAGGCCTGTGTGTGCAGATCTAAGCTGGTCGCGCTGCTGAGGATAGGCAGATACCCTGCACTCGCTCACGGCAGCAGGGACAGGCTGGTGCAGATAGCCATGGGTGGGCAGGGCAGCCTGGAAAATCTCCCTGTTTGGGTGGAGCCTTCAGCAGCCAGCCCGGGAGCTAAAGCCTCTCCCCATGCTCACTGAGGGCACCAGGGACAAGAAGGGATGCTGCTGCTGGGTGGGCCCCGCAAGCAGCCAACTGCAACAGTTAAAGCAGCTCCCTGCACTTGGAGGCTGTGCAGCCGGCCGGGACAGACCAGCACCGGGTCAAACCCTGGCGGGACAAAGGTGGGATGAGGGTGGGCTGGAAAGGTGGGAGATGACAGACAGGTGAACAATAGAACTAAAAGAACTGGCCAACCACGAGAGGAGCAGGGGATTCCTATAGGGAGTAGCCAGAAAGCCTTTCCGTGAATTTCAGATACCAGTCACCACCCTTATGGCTTTTAACTGGTGATCATGTAACCGGATTCCAGGACAGAATAATAGACTAATAATAATAGACTAATAACCTTCAACCATACCCCAAAGGGGCTGTTGGGGTCCCTCCAGTGGGCAGGCAGTCCTTCAGTTTCTCCTGGAGAGTATCCCCATACTCAGGCCCTGTACCTATAACCAAAATCTGTACA